CTCAAATAAACCAAAGTACGCTTTTAAATCTGCATTCGGTTCAATAACTTCTTGCATTTCATTTTTTGCAAAATCTTCTAGTTCACTTATCATTGATTTAGTGATTTTTTTGCAAGATATTGGATTATCTACATTGTTAAAATGCATAATGTTTTTGATGTAGTTAGAAATAAAAACTCCATGTGTTGTTTCCAGAATATCCCAAAAGTTTTCAATAAAATTATTCTGACGAGCCATTTTGCAATCAATTTTCTTAAACTGAAGTAACCCAGTAAAATTTCGATTCATGTAATGTAATGTTATGACAATGTGTCTTTTGAAAACAGGCAAAAGGAAGCTTTAGGTAATATATTACATTTTTTGTCTCTATATATTAATCACTAATCAAGCCACTAATAATACTTTTCGCTAACCTTACAACTTCCAACTAGATTGTCTCTGTCATATTATCCCTGTAATGCAAAAAAAAACAATTAATTATTTTAAAAATTATTTCTTTATAAAAAAAATTTATTGTAATTTAATAAAAACCATTTTGTTTTTAATACAACGTATAAATATTTATAAATTAAAATTGTGGTATTTATTTATTACGAACTAAAGAAAATTGGATGGACATGTGTGTAAATTAGGTAGACCTTCGTATTGAAATAAAAAATAATAAATTATCCCGACACTAATTTTTTACTTATCAATATCATAACAACTATTTAATTAAATTGAAATGTATTATAATATATATTTTTAAACAAAAGTATTTAAAAATTGTGAATGCTTTATTGATTTTGTATTATTTAACTCTCCATTACTCGTAGAGTGAGCGAAGCGTTTACATGCTATAGTAAGTATACTTACGACTCTCCATAAGTTATAAAACAATACAGCAAAAATCTTATTTTGCAATAAAAGGGCATTCACGTTTCGCCAATAGACATTGGAAATATTTGCTTACATACAAAAATCTGTCTTTTAAATGCCAGCCGATTGCTGAATTTTTTAGATCGTATAACTTATTGTTAGACACTTGGTTAGACATCTCATTTACGTGTGGCTAAAAAAGTAGAGATGACAACAAGGATGACAACTATTTTCCTGTAATTGCACAAATACTCTTAAATGAACAAGTTTTAATATTGATTAAATAGTAGTACATTTTTTAAAGTAAACAATTACCTTGATTTTTACTGAAATGAGAACCTACCAATTACACACTGCGCAGTGCGTAATATTATTCAATTATTATTGAATTTCTCACTATTTTCATGGAACTATGACGAGTATACAATTCTACCTGCAAAAAATAACAGTTGTTATTTATCCCTCATCATCATTTTTGTGGAACATATTCATCAAATTGTGAACGTAAATATTTTGAAAATAACTTGAATAAAATAAATTAAATAAATTGAGAAAAGTAATAAATTTTTATTTTAATGCCTGGAATTATAATAATTCGTAAATTAAACTCAAACATCTTAAAATATAAACTTTTATTAAATCATTATTTAAATATCTACATATTTAGAAATAAAATTTTGCTGATATTTATTTTTTGTTTGCTTCAAACAAGAGTCAGAAGTTATGTGAACCACGGAGACAATGCAAGGAGATTTAGGTTTTTAATCACTCGCGTAGCTACGGAGTTACGCATCATCCCGAGACAATGTTTGCTTATTAATGAGGTTATGCACCTCGTATTGAAATAAAAAAAATACAATTACTTATCTTCAATGAATTCCGTGTTTACACTTAGTTTTTCTAGGTTTTCACTAATAGCATATGCTTGAATGTAGAAAACTTACGCACTGTAAAGTTTTATAGATACATATCTTGAGACACAGAATCGACATAAAACAAGGCTGATGTTATTCCTCTGTCATGGTTGGTTATTCCACATAGCATGGAATACCACGTGGAAATGCATATTTTTCTGCGCAGGTCAAGGCGCCAATTCAACTTCTGTTTATCTAATCAATAATTACTACACTTTTTTTATACTTCTCCCGGGAAAAAAAGCATATGTATAATCATATATAATTATATATAAATGATCATATATAATTATATATGAAAATTGGCACGATATAATTTTATCTGATTATATATAAAAATATATAATTCTACAAATTTTTATATAATTTTATATAAATATATATAACTTTACATTAAGGTTTACTTTCAAAGGATTATATATTATTATATAAAATATATATTATATATTATTATATAAAATTATATATAATTTTGTGTAATATATATATATATATATATATAATATATAATGAATAATTGTACTTTGCGCCTCTTCCTCGTGATCAAGATGTAGTATCTCGGTAAGATGCCGCCACAGCGGGTGAGGTTCTCTGTTGCAAGAGGTTAGTAAATTAATATTCGGCTTTAGATTAATAGGTTCCGAAACTAGCATCGAATAAAAAAGCGGGAACCAGGGTTGTGCAGGCCATTCTGGAACGACCACAATGCCTACTGCCTTGTCATCCCTGATTTTTCGGAGAACCCTAAGGATAATCGCGAATGGCGGAAACGCATAAAAGTAAAAATCTGTCCACAATTTCGTGAACGCGTCTACCGATAATGAGTTGGGATCTTTGAACCACGAAAAGTAATTTTTACACTTGGTGTTGACCCGACTGGCGAACAGGTCAATCTGTGGTTTCCCCAGTGTCGTACTGATTTTTTCGAATGCTTCATTCGCTAGCTCGTACTCTGTTTCCGGTTCTATCTTTCTTGACTCCGCGTCAGCTATAAAGTTATCTTTAGAACTTATATACGACGCGAACAGAATAATGTCCCGAGCTTCACACCATCCCCAGATTTCCTGGGTTATCCGATTTAGTCTTACATTTTGAACACCTCCCATCCTATTGATGTAGGAGATGGCGGTGGTATTGTCTATTCGAAGTAAGATGTCTGTGCTTCGCAAGTGTTTCGCAAAACATTTTAAGCCGAAAAACGCCGCTTTTAATTCGAGAAAATTGATATGTTTCGATCGTTCTGACGCATCCCATGAACCGTGTGCTGTTTCATTCCCGCAAGCTGCTCCCCAACCCGTCAGAGATGCATCTGAATAGATTTCTAACTGAAAGTTTAAGGCATTTATCGAGTTGCATGTTTTTTGTATATTGCGTTTCCACCAAAGCAAGTCTGTCTTAACGTTATTGCTCAGGGTCATGCTTGCATCATAATTGCCGTTGTTTTCCTCGAGCGCTAAGAATTTTTCTCTCTCCAGAGACTTAATGTGAGCATATCCGAATTTTACTGCTGGGCAACACGAGACGATTGAACCTACCATTTGAGCAAACTCCCTAATCTTATATTTTCGATTCACAATGAATTTTGACATTGTTTCTAAAGCTCTTAGTTTTTTCTCCTTTGGAAGTTCAATCGTCATCTGATTAGAGTCGAATACAAATCCTAGGTATTTGCATCTCTGAACGGGGGAGAGCTGGCTTTTTTCCTCGTTGATTATAAATCCTAAGTTCTCTAAAGCTATCCGTGTTTGTAAAACATTCGATACACATTCATCATGTGATTTTCCAAACAACAGAAAGTCATCCAGATATACCACCGAGAGGAGACCCTTTCGCCTGAGATCGGAGATTATCGGCTTCACAATTTTGGTGAAGACATAAGGGGCGGTAGAGAGGCCAAAGGGTAGGCAAGAAAACTGAAAGAGCTTTCCTTCAAACTCGAATCTTAGATATTTTCTATCCGACTCTGCGATCGGTATGAGATAGTACGCATCTCTTAAGTCAATTGAGGCCATAAACCAACCCTTGTTTATTAATCTAACCACTGTTTTGTGGTCTTCTAATTTAAAATGTTTAGTCTTTATGAATTCGTTTAACTGTTTTAAATTTAAAATCAGTCTATACGAGCCATTGGACTTTTTCCGTAAGAAAATGCTTGAAATGAACTGTTTTTGAGTCGGTTCGCATGGTTCTATGGCCCCTTTTTGTAATAGCTCTGCAATTTTTAACGAAATCTGAGTTTTCTCCTCCCGTGACCAATGGGCCTCTCTCGGTGGTTTTATTTGGATAGGCTTGCACACAAAAGGTATTCTATACCCTTCTACCCATGACAAAATAGATTTGTTATTGGTTAACGCTTTTTACCGTGGCAAAAACTGTCGTAGCCTGCCGGCTGGTTTACCTACTGGAGTTAATCGCGTCTTCTTGTGTGTTCTCTCCTGTGTGGAGCCCTGTAGTGCTGAGAAGCCGGTTTCAAAGCCCTGTTGGACAGTGGATATCGACGCCCGCCCCTCGTCGCTGGCTGCCTCTTGTAGCGCGACTGTCGGGACGGGGCTTTCGCGTTTTTTGACGATGTCGTCCCTTGCGATTTTTGAGGTCGTTTCAAGTCTTTGGATGAAGTTTCGATCAACTTCGCTGCCTTTACGCTTTCGGATAATTCCTTGCCGAAAAGCCATTCGTCGATAACTG